TACTATAATTTGTTCAGATTTATTATTAACTTATTTTTTATTTTTTTTTGAGTTTCCTCCCTTTCTATTGCAAAGACTCCATATATTTCTATGCAATATGACTCAAGATATTTAAATATCTATCTGCTTAATAATTGAGTCAATGCTAATTGACTTTTATAATATTTTTTAGTTAAAATTATTTTAGATTTAACAATAGTTTCATTCTTTAATAATAATTAAAATACTTTATAATACAGTGTAAAACTTCTATAATAGAAATTTAAAAAAACATTAATAAAATTTAATCTATTAATTAAATTTTAATCAAATAAAAAAAATTGATTTATATTTGTAAAAATAAATCGATTTATAAAAAAAGTTTTTTCAATTTTGTAAATTATGTAAGCATTATATAATATATATATATAAGCTAATTATAAACTAATATTAAAAATTGTATAAAATAATTTATTTTATTTTATTTATTATTTCATTATAAATTGTATCAGATATATAATGATAAAACTTATATTTTTTAGCTGCAAACTCTACCATTTTTTTAGTAATACCTTCTCTATAAATATTTATATATTATCATGATTTTTATGCATATTTTTGAATTGTAATTAAAAAAAACTAAATCTAATACTTTAAGAACAATTTATTATAATCTAAACTATATATAATTATAATATTCTGTGTATTTCTTTTATTATACTCTAATACATCTTTATATAATTCAATTTATAATAATATTTAAATTAAAATATATAAATAATAAAAAAATTATTTTTATAATTTGTCATCATATATTTTTTTCAATTTCAGTTTTTATAATTAATTTTAGATAAATATAATTTTATCAATATTGAAGATATTAAAATTCTAATCTAAGATTCTTAAAATGTAGGTTAAAGTTTATTTATTTTATGAATTAAATTTTCAATTTTATATATAATAAAATTTTATTTTTCATTTTAAATTTGTCTTATTTTTACTATTCCTTTAACTGTTTTGCCTATAAATTTGTAGATAATTTTATTTTAATTATAATTCTTTTTAATTATTTTTAAAAAATCAATATTTTTATAATAAATTTTATGATTTTTCTAAACTAATAATATTATTTCCATTACAGATTAATCCATCTCTAAAGAAGAAGTGTGAAGAAAAGAATGATGTTTTCTTAGTTGTAATGAAGATACTGAAAGCACAATTATATTATCTTTCTTTAGGTTTTAGTATTACACATAAACTATATTAATTTCATTACTATAATGCGGCTAATTGTTTGATTCCTTTATTTATTATTGCAGATAATCCTATTAAAATTCTAGCTTGCAGCTATATATATTATAGATCCTATTACAGTAATAATAGATTTAAATGCTTGCATTATCTCTCATTCTTATGTAATAGTATTGATAAATATGTTCAATCTTTATTACAATCTTTGTAAAAATGAAAAGAGCAGATTGTTAAACAAGAAAATAATATTCCTTATAATAAAAATAATAATAAAAGTGAACCTATAAAATATGTAGTATATGCATTAGAAGAGATATTGTGTAAATTTCAATAGCAATAGATCATTTAAGAGGATAACTTCATTTAGAGAAGTATTTTAGTTGCAATAAAAATAAAAATTTTTTACAATTTTTTTTTTTTACAAAAACTAAAACTATTATATAAAATCAATAAATTAAACTAATTTTTGAAACAAAGGTTTTATTTTTAATACTTTAATTTATTATATATTTAAATGCTAAAATAGTTTATTAAATGCAATAGTTGAATTTTATTATCACGTAGTTTATCACGTGACATTTATAAATATTTACAGTATCATTAACAAAATTCGTGTAACATATTTGGCCAATCATGTGAAAGTCCTCCTATGATGTCATGCTATCTATTCCTATTCCCATGAATTCAGTACTCAAATCAAACCAGCTAATCAAAAAGAGTTGGAAAAGGCTATTTTAACCCTCAACAATGAAGGGAAGCCCGAAGTGGAGGTTTGTGGGACAACTGCAAATTTAGGGACACCTCCCCCTTATTAAATGACATAATTTCTGGTCTTTCCCTTAGATGAAACCGTATCCTGCGTATATATATGATCCTGAGAAGACAAGAAATTCTTGGTTAAACTATACATCTATGATGCGACACAATTATTTCAATATCAATTATGATAAAAATCTTCAGACTTTTATAGAAAGTGACAAATATGTTAGTGGTGCATTTTCTACTGATAAAAGTGATCGTATTACTAACGCGATTTACTCTTGGACCTTAGAGTTGGTGTAATCTCGTTCTTATATATTTACGCAATTTTATGTATTAGTTGCTACTTCCATCAACGATTTATTTCATTAAATAAAGCCGGTTTTTTGCATGTATTTACCTCGTAAATGTGCCTATCGAAGAAAATCACGTGCGATGTTACAATATCGCTTTACCCGAGTGGCTGATCATCTATATGACTCATACTCTAACGAGATAATTTACGATACTTTTTTTTTACCTTTTTTTTTAAACTCCGCTAAATCAATTATTGATTATTTAAAAGGGTATGGGAAATGATATATTAATTGATTGTTCTTTTGCAAAGTAACTAAATATGTTAACCTCTTTTTATGGCGATTGCTACTCTAGCTCTAAAGTTAGCAGAATTGGAAAAACTAACAGTCCAAAAACCAGTGGTATGTGATGTTTGACTTCGTTTTAAATCCCTTGAAATTAGGATAATAGCAGTATATTTTAACGTAGAGAGCGCCACTACCTCCACTACCTCCACTAACCTTGCTACCTCCACAAGCTCTATTATCACTAATAAAAGGTAAGTAATTATTGACAACTGATACTTCGCATTTAATTTTTGGCTAACAAAGAATTCTTCTGTAACGGTAGCACTTCTGCTATTCATAAGCCTATTGAAGACGAAGAATTAAGAAAGCTCCGCCGATTATGGTGGGAAGAGGGCAACATACACCCACAAGCAAAATGGGAAGAGGCCAAGTAAGTTCTATCATCATAATTGTTTATGAATTAGCGACTCATATAAACCAATTTTCGCTGATTACATAAGGCTCCCCTACATTATTGCTGAGGGAATCACATTAGAGGAATACGAGGAACGCACAGACAAGTTTAACATCCGTGCTTTTTGGGAATGGGACGATTGTAAAATCATCATTAATGAACTTCCATCAGCACACCACGAAAGCTTTATTGGTTCTATCTCAACAAACATAATGATGAAATGCGGTCCTGTGTATGGAACTGATGCTGAAATCGGAAGTCTTGGCGCAATTCGTAACTATTCATTCACTAAATATCTTGGCCTTATGTTTGTAATATTATATTAACCTTCGTTTTTCTTAAGGAACTCGTGCTGACAATTCCGAAAAAGAACCTGATGCATGTTTTCGCCCTGAAAAACCAAAAGTGTCATCACCAAGCGGGAGCAATGGAAAGGTACCTTCTTTATATTTGTTCTAAACTATACAGCATCGAGGATTCATATTTTCATGATTCAGGAAGATCCTTGGCCAAACCTTGTCATTGAAGTTGCGTATTCTGAAAGCGAACAGCATGTCCTAGACAAGGTGAAAAAGTATTGGTTAGGTAATCTTAACCGTGTCCATGATGTAATAGTTGTCAAAATCGATCCAGTTTCTAGTGACCAAATTCCTAAGCGCATGCAGGTATACTATATTGTTTGAGATGCAGGTGACATTTCAATGTTTGCTATTCTAAGGAATTTAATTAATTGTAGGCTTGGCATTTTTGCATCTCGGACAAATGTTATCGATATAGAGATGTCCCACATCGAACTTATGTAATATTACAAACAAAAATAATTTCTTTTTTATCAATGTGTTAAAATTTCTAACGTGATATTTTAATTGTTAGTTTGAATTTGGAACTCATGATAGATATGGAAATCCAACAAATATTCAACAGAATCAATGTATTATCAACATTTCACTGGATTGTTTGTATCACGATAGATTTTCTAATATTGTAATTCCTCTCCCTGATCCGATTGTATTGGATTTCTTTTTAATTCGAGAATCATTCCTTCGTATGTATCGAGAGGAGTGAATGACAGAGGAATATTATGTGTTATTCAACCAAATACAGAGTTCACATAATTTATGGAACAAAGCATACAATTCTCATAAATGATTCCGATGTAATTGTTTGATGCAATAAATGTTTATCAGAAAAAAATACACGTATACTTGCTTTATTGTTACAAATAAAATATATTAGGCACATAGGTGCTAGTTATATGAAATACAGTTATAAAAATTTTATTTATTGTCTATTATTTATTTTCGATTATTTTTTGTACATATAATATCGGAGAGAAGGGCTTTGATCTCGTTGAATACCAATGTTCTTGCCGATTGGTCATCAATGTTGCTTGTAGACTTGACATCCCTGATTAGGTCATCATATGCCTTGTAGTAACAATACCAGCATAAGATTTTCTTTTGTCTGACCTTCATTACCACCCTAAATAGATCAACTATATTTTGTGCTGTAACTTCATTAGAATCGCTTCTAAAGAGAATTGGGAATCTCAATATCAAATGCTTTATCTCCAGTTTGCTTAAGCAAACCTCTCTTACCTTTCACCTAAGTAGATAACTCATGTCTCAAACATTGTTTTACTTTCTGATTATGGGGTTTTCTGATTGATAGACAATTGCTCATTTGCTATAGGAGAGCAACCCTGTCCATTTTTTTTCATTCAAGAGAGTGGTAAAATCCTAAGAAGCTTCGATTTTCTCTGAATCTGATTCTCTTTCTTGATGTTTCTTCTTCTGCTTCCTTTGCATAATCTCATTACTAACCTTTTTCTTATGCATCTTATTCAAGAAAGCGTCTGTTTCCTTATCTTCAGATAATAAAGTATCTACCAATAATTTCTTGTATTGCATTACTGTAAGAATCTAATCTGCAACCAAATTGAAGTTAGATAAAGTGTTGTTAGAAGAATTATCAATTAGCAACTAATTCTATTTCACTTTCATGAGTCTATCTCTAAACTTAACATTCTCAAATTCTAACTCCTCAATTCTGATCTTGAATTTGGTATTTTCAGCATTACACCTCTCATTATATTTTTAATTTGCTCTTAGAATCTCAGCATTCCTGTGCTTAAGTTCAGTTATTTTAGCATTAAATACTGAGAGCTTGTTTCTAAAATCAGGGATCACAGTATTCTTCTTCCTGAGCTTTGCATTCTCAGCCTCAAATTCAATGATACGCTATTTCAATAATTCAAGCTTAGATAATATGATTTCTAATACATTGTACGTAAATATTCAAAATAAAAAATATGTGATTTTTTCTCATAGCCTATTAGCAAAATTACCAAGAAAATTTTTTATTAATATATGTGAAAAATAAATATAAAATTCAAGACATAGCTTTTGATACATATTATTTTTTGATAAATTTTTTGATTCTAATCCTCTTGCTAGACAGAGAACTATTAATACTAATCTAATCCTTCAATAACCCAACAATTATTTCTATTACCCTTTTTATGTTGTTTTGAAGTAACTCAAAATTTTCTTGACAGCTGATTTCATGAAATTAATCTGATACTCATTATCACTTATACAGTAAATACTATCTGATATATATAAAATAAAGTGCTATTCTGTACTAGCAATCACAATATTATAGATATAATAAACTTGTTATTCTTAAATACTTGATTCATAATTTGTTTCTTTTTATTTATTTGAAATGCACTTTTAAGCTATATTAAATTCTAAGAAATAAAATGAATTAATATTATTAAATCTCTTTCAGATTGGTATTCTAAAAACACAAATCAAGTAATTAGACTTACTTGAGCTTATCTAATCTTAATATTATGTGGTTTCCCCTTAGTGATATAAAGTAGATCCTTTAAACTTTTGATCACGTAGTCTACTTGACATATTGCATTTTCATTAGAAACGTCTTTTTACAAAACTATAAATATATCTTAAGTGGTGAGTTTTTTGGCTATAATAATTAATATATATAATATTGCTAAAATAAATTCACAATATGTCACTTCATTAGTGTCAATCATGGTTTTACATTCAAAAATTTTAAGATAATATTCTTCATATAGTGATTAAACGTCTTATCATCATCATTAATTTTCTTAAAGACTGTAGAAGAAAAAAAATAAGGTTAGTATAGCTATCTAGTCAGTTCTAAAAAGTTGAATAATCATTTACTAGAAGTAAATTACTTGATACTCATTATATCTTCCTCATTAATCTTATTTCTACATAACATTTCCTTTAAGTTATCAAGTATTTTAAGTAAGAAATAGTTTTATAATTTTTGGTTAATTTTCTTAATAAATTTTGCAAATGTTATTGCAAGACTAACTTTTAAATTATAGTTACGAAAGTCTCTTTTGTTATATCAAGAAAGGCAAAACCAGAAATTTTTTCTTTGTGTAAAATTTCAAAGTAAAACTCTCTAACTTCAAGTTTTTCTTCTTCAAATATTCGATAAGCTTCTTTATATTAAAATCCTTACAACATCTGACATTATATAAGAAGAAATTTTTTTTATTATTGAGGCAGGTGAAATAGATAAAGAAGCTTATAAAAATATGATTTTTATATATGTAAGTTTGTGCTTGTGAAAAAATTATGCATCCAACTGCAATTATAAGCAAAGTTGATTTATAAATATAAAAGTATTTTTTGATTTTTAGCATTAGGGAGAAATGTTAGATTTTTTTTATTGATTCATAATGAATTTGTCTAATATACAATAGCAGTTATAAATATCTGACTGTCTCTAACTTTAGCTACAAGTAAGTAAATTTAAAACATTTTTATTTAAAAAATACATAACCAATTAATTAAAATTAATATATTGTGTAGTCATCATCTGATTCTATAAATGCAGCTATACGCCTTTTTATACTAATTACTAAATTCGTGATAAATACAGGTGATAATCAATTCCATTCTTTTGTAAGTTTCTCCTTTAATCCTCTAATTGATCGAATTTTTTTTTGTATATTAATTTTCATTAACTTCTAAACATTTTTTATAGAGTTTTGGTCTGAAGACATTGATGACTAAGAAAGTACCTCAATGCAATTTTCTTCCTTCCATTTTTTCATGATTTTCAATCAATGCTTTGGATCATTATTTTCTTATAAAATTTAATCTATGTTACCTTCACCAAAAAGTTTAATGGTAGAAGTCAGAAGATCCTATTCATAAATAGTATACATAAATTCAACATTAAGGTTCTTCTGAAATCAAAATAACTTACCAAATCCAGAAGTAGAAAAATATTTTCAAATATGAACTTTTGTGAATGCTTAATAGAACGAAACACTTTTTTTACCAGAAAACTGCCAAACCTTTTTTGATATATATAATTGAAATGTATTCTCATTTGTAAAAACAATCAAAATTCTTATGTTTTTTTACCCATTCAACCTTTTCTTTCAATGGTCTTCTTTAAGTAAAGGTTTAGAAATTTTATTACTAAACTTTTCTCTAGATTTACGAAGACGTCATCTTACTGTTTTATATTAAGCCTACATCTTTTCTTCTATTTTTCTTGTATTTGAATAGCTGTTATATTATGTTCTTTTTCTGTCATTTTTACAATTTTGTCATCTTATTTCGTGATTATTATATTAGATTACTCTGATCTTTCTGAAGTACTTAGGTTCCAATTTTTATAATATCTTTTACTCAATAAATAACTGTAGACTTATTACAATATATCTGTTTAACAATAAATTCAAAACTAAACTTTGAACTAGCTGGGTGTTCATGTAAAAAAACAATTTTGTATTATTATTTTAAAGAAAACTCTATTTTTCAAGTGAAAGTTTGATGATCATCTAAATTTTTTTTGTATTATTACAGAGATCCAGAATTATTCTGGTATTAAATCACAAATTTTATCACAATAACGGGAAAATTTCTGATTTTATTCTGATAAAAAATTACCAATTATAGTAAAAAACATTTAATAATTCTAGCCAGTTTATATCTTAATACAGGTTAATCTAAGTTGTAATAGTGACACAATAATAATTTTGGCCAAAAATAATCAAAATAATTGACATTTACCAGTTACTATAGAATTCTTACAAATTCCATCACGATAAAGTCAATAATACTACAATAATGATTAGTTACAGTAGCGGTCATAAGTATCTGACCCCTTATAATTCTTAAAATTAATTAATAATATCTATTAAATTTTTTTAAATTTAAGTTCAATACTAACCTTGATAATCTATAAAATTATAGATTCATATCATGTATAATTTAGAAGTTAGATGATTGGTAGATTTTATATTTTTAAAAAAATCACCTTTTTTTATATAAATAATTTCATTTTTTATTATTTAACGTCTAAACTCCTTAAATATATAGATTTTTTTTTAATATATTAATTTTTTAGGAGTTATAACACATTTTTTATAAAATTTTAAATAGATTAAACAGATATTTAGAAAACTTCAATAATACTGTATTCTTTCTTTTAATTTTTGAATAATGTTTGTATTTATTAACTTTTTACCAAATTTACTCTAAGTTCTCTTTTCTAAAATATTCACAGATATAAGCCAAAAGGTTACTTTTATAGAAATTATATGTAAAATTAACATTAAAGTTTTGCTGAAAAAAAATTGATTTATCAAATCGCAAATCTAAAAAATCACTATAATATAGACTTTTTAACAAATATTATAACTTTTGTTTATTACTAAAATCTTTATTTAAATAATATTTTAAATATAATAAATGTTATAATTTTATTACAATAGATATAAAGTAGCTATAATTTTGAAATTCCATTTCAGTCACTATTGAAATTTATATAAAAAAATCTATTTTGTTTAATTTATTAAAAAATATCGGCATTTTACATACAAAATTTATTGATCATCTAATTTTTGATTTATATGTATATAAGCTTATAATTTTACATGTGATTAACATTGGTATTGTACTTGAATTTTGAAAAATTTTAATGGGTATTATTAATTAACTTTAAGAATTATGAGGGGTTGGATACTTTGTAGTTATTACATATCAGAATAAAATTATTAAAATTCATAAAAATTCTATTTTATTCTATTATACGGCAAAAATTTCATTTTATTTATTAATTATAAAAAATGGAATAATTCTAGATCTCTGTATTATTGACACTTATAAATTTATCAGTGATTATGTATTATATTACATTATATTCTTGAAAAATTTAAGGGGTAGTTATATAATAATTTTGGATGATCTCAAGCAGTCAGATACTTATAACCGCTATTGTATATATAATTAATATGTAATACAGGATTGATAAGTGATATTATTATATCATTACATGTAGTATTTTTTAAGATTTACAACAAAAATATAATATATACTTTATTTATAAAATAAACGTTGCCAAAAGTTAGGTAAAAATAATATATGTGAATAATATTACTTCATAATATAAATGAAAAATTCTAAATACTAGAATATACAATGATATGAAAGTGTTTTGCTTTAGGTTTCTCAGTAAAAATTTCAGAAAACTGATTATACCTATCTATTTTCTTTTCAATAATGCTTCCAGCTTAAATTATACAAAATTTGAAAAAGATTGCTTTGAATTGCAATCTGAAGTTCAGTAGTACCTCTACTTTATGCAAATTATAATCAATTGCATTACTTTAATGCATAGAATATTTATAAGTTTTCCTATAGAAATGAAAGATAATTAAAGTAATTTTGATCATTTTATTTTT